ACAGTCAGAAAGAAATGCAAACATTAGTGAAGTGTAACCATAGAGTTCCAGATAATTTTTGTCATTAAACAATATATCACGTGACTAACCACAGGTCCGGGTAGTCCTGTGGGTACCCGGGTCCTAGTCGGTACCCACCAGACCCCGGTACCTGAGTTACCCATCCCAGCCCTACTACAGTTCCACTGTGAAGGTAACATTGACCCAGTGCTCCCAGATTACAGCATGTCCCAAGTTTAGTAAATATGACAGTTTGTATATCTGCCCTTCCCAATAGATGTTGGCTGTTTAATGTTACAGTCAACAATATTCCTGCTATTTGTGAAAATAATCAAATCTAGGATAGGTTGGTTGGTTGGTTTGTTGGTTGGTTGTTTAACACCACACTCAGCAATATTCCAGCTATGTGACGGCAGTCTGTTAATAATCAAGTCTGGACCAGACAATCCAGTGATTGGCATCATGAGCATCGATCAACGCAATTGGGATCGATGGCATGCATCAACCAAGTCAGCGAGACTGACCACCCAATCCCGTTAGTCGCCTCCTACGACAAGCATAGTCGCCTTTAAGGCAAGCATGGGTTGCTGAAGACTTATTCTACCCCGGTATCTTCACGGGTCCTAGGATAGGTAAACCAGTGGTTGACATTATGGTCAACGATCCACGTTTTCTGGGTATACAATCAACCAATTCACTGAAATCAGACAAATAAACCAAATCAACCTGATCATTAAGAGTGAGTGAGTTGGGTTTTACGCCGTTTTAAGCAATATTCCAGCAATATCACGGCACCAGAAATAGACTTCATGCATTGTACCCCTGTGGGAAACCGACCTCGTGTCTCAAGCGTGAAGAGCGAACGCTTAACCCCTAGGCTACCCCACCGCCCACTCATAAAGAAATGCTCTACATCTGAATCAAATGTGTGCAAGGCAATAACAATCTCGATTCAAGAATAATTGTAAGAATATATTCCTGCCACCTGGTGTTCATGTAATTTGCGGTGTCCAGGAGTGAGTGAGTATGGTTTTACGCCACTTTTAGCAATATTCCAGCAATATCACGGGGGGGGGACACCAGAAATGGGCTTCACACATTGTACCCGCGGTGTCCAGGAACTGAAATATCCTCTAGGAAATAAAAAGTTTAAAGCCATTCCTGAATTGGGGTGTGTGTCCTTTGTCTGCTCTCTCTAATTAAACTTTAAAAAGCTGTTATTCGTTTCTGTCAACACCCAGCAAAGATAGATATAAGTATCACACAAACAATGACAACAAAAATGTTCCGTACTAAAATATAGCTTTTATTTTGTTTTTGATACAGGACCTATCACAAGGCATCTAAAGTATCAAAATGTCTACACATACACAGGTACAGCGGTTATCCCCCCTTAATCTGTAGAGCGTTATGGATTTAGCCACAGGTGGCAGCACAATACAAACAATTTACAAGTGGCTGCATTCCACCTGTACCAGTGAATATATGAATTATACACACAGGTTATATATCTCAATATTGCCTGTAGGGGAAGCTGATTAAATGGGTTTATGGCAGGCCATTACAGGAACCCTTCCACCTTATTACCTTCGTGATACGCACGAACAATAGCATTGCTACCATAACAAAGACACTAGGATGAGATTCTATTCATCATCCCAAATCATTCTTCCAACTTTTTTAGTCTGTAAACAGTAATAACCAGTGTATTAAAGGTAAAAAGACAGCTAACCAGCTAATGTGGCAGAGCGATTTGTGATGTCATTTGATTGTGACGTCATGGTAACCAATGAGGTCACAATGGTCTTCAAAGCATTGTGATGCAATTTCATTGCAGTGCAATCTCTAGGAGATATTGCTTGATTTCACCAAGCAATATCTCCTGTTTGGGGTGATAAATTAAACACTCTTTCATGAGATGACTTTGTCATAGTCAAGCATGAAGGATTATGTTAAATGACAACACTTTTTAACTCGAAAATCAAGTGGTAGTCTTAAGTTTAAAGTAGAACAGATCGCTCCTGCTAAGTAGATATAGTTCCTCCAGTTTGACACAGGTTCTAGTCAGACCGGCTAGTTCAGCCACACAGTTAAGTGGATGTATAGGAGGACAATCATATTTTTTCGGTTGGTATCTGCATACATTCGCATTATCTTGGAAAAACAAACCCTAAAAAATTTGTTTCAAAAATAAATATTTGTAGAAAAAAAATAAAGTGCGAAATCACAAAATATCTTTTACAATTAATATGCAACAAATGTTCAATCAATCCATCCCCTGCAAAAGAATGGTATGGGAGAAAGACAAAAAATAATTTGAATAAAATTTCCGAAGATGAAATGGTTGGTCCTATAGTGACTCCACTGACATCCAGATAGGTCACAGGAAGCTAGTACCGTGGTGCCATTTACACAGTGGGGCTACTTTAACACAAGCCTCTACCAGTAGCACGAGAACTACGAATAACACAAAGTCACTGCTGGTTCTGTATGGAATGCATTCATGTTTCAAGGGACGTCATTGAAAGATAGCGAGATTTTACAAGTGCTTCCAGCAAAGTTGATTGTGCACTCGGATCAGTGTGGGATAGTGAGTGAGTGAGTGAGTTGGGTTTAACGCCGCTTTTAACAGTATTCCAGTCATATCACGCCGTGTCAGTTAAATGTGGGAGGAAAGCCCGAAGTGATGCAGGCCTCAGACGTTTACCACTTTGGTGAATCCCAAGAACACGGGTATGGTGCTGACAAACCTAGAAACATAATCGGGGCGAACCAGGATTCGCCCCCACAATCATAGGTTTCTGGCAGCTCTGCACAGAGAACTGCGGCGCCTTAGACGATGAAGAAGCAGTGTTCCAGGTCCTCCTCAACTTAACGTAACAATCAGAGACCAAACATACACGATTATTAAAGAAAGACAACTCCGGAAAGTTACCTCAGTCCACTCACCTATGCGTCCACTGCGTGAGACTGACATCTTAGTTGGATCACTGACTTTCAGGGGTCAAGGAAGCAGTATATATCACACGTAACACATGGCAAACAATCGGATTATTGCTATAGGAATTATGGCAAAATGGCGGTTACCATGGTTACTGGCCAGAGTAAAATAGGTAATTCACAAACATTTACAAATACATTCTGAAGAGGTCTGGCCATCAGTCCATCATAAAATAATCTGTATCCGCGTAGATACCATGTATCTAAACTGGAAAAAGAAATTTGGTTAATGGCACACGTGTTCCCAACAATTGACATTTTTATCAAACAGTATCAAGATTTAACAACTGAACGAATCATTGAGATCATTCCTGACATCAAATATTCACTAGATACATATACAATAACACTTGGTGTCAATTCTGGCAGACTGAAGTGGGTCTTTGTCTGTGCCTGACTTTGTTGCAGTTGATGTTACAGCATCAGCAGAATCCTTAGCAGCCTAGTGCAGCAGAAAAAGTGCAGTGTGTCACAGAAATACTGACAAACCAACAGCCCTTAGGTGGATCCAGAGAGGAGATACGGGGGGGTCCACTCCCCTCCCCTATTTTGAAAACCAAATGTAGTATGTTGAAGGAATTTTGATATTTTGGACCCCTCACTTTTTAAAAATCCTGGATTGCTCGTCTCGATGGTTTCATCTCAGGAGAAGTTGAAAGAAAACAAATTCAACTTGTTCAAACAGTTCCTTCTGGCCCAAACTCGAACTGTTGCAAACAGTGAAATGTTCGGATTGAGTGGGTATGGTTTTATGCCTCTTCTAGCAATATTCCAGAAATATCACGGAGGGGGTCACCAGAAATGGGCTTCACACACTGCACCCATGTCGGGAATCGAACCCAGGTCTTTGGCGTGACAAACAAACACTTTAACCACTAGGCTACCCCACCGCCTCTGTTTGGACTGAAAACAGATACGATTCCTGCATTAGTAAAGAAATGTTTACTTGTCCAGTCAACAAAATACTGGTTTATTTGTTCCGCAGTTCTGCTGCTTGTCCATATCTTTCCTCTATTCCTCCAAATGCTGGGTCAAAACACCTGAAGCCAAGCAATAAGAAACGTCTGGCCAGGTAATAGATCTTTTAAACTTCTAATGCACAAACATGTTAACATATTAATCAAAAGAAGTTCAAGAACGCTCGATATTTTCATATGACTATAGTTAATCTGCAAAACACAGCCTCCCAATTGTAGGCATTCCTTAACTTCTTTTGAGTAGCATAGAAAAAACATTCACTGGTCAAAGCAGTCAAATGAAAGAGCAGGCAGTGCACAGGAACACGAATGTGACCTTCACCCTCAATCGACAATAATGTATACTATTTTCCTTACCACTACTTCTAACAGCACTTTCTTTTAAAGTTATTAAACAATAACAATGCCCAAAATAGGAACAAAGGTTTCGTTCAGAAATATGTTCTGAAAACAAAAATGCTAATCACATAAAAATATTCAGAAGCACTTCCTGAGAACCATTCAATGCCTGAACATGCCTGTCCACTTATCTATAAGAAACAGAAGTTGGTTGGAAGCATGCGTAATGCCGAGAAATAAAGAGGCTATACGGAGCGTATACACCAGCTGTCAACACGACACAATGCCATGACGTAACATCCTACTGGGGCAATACACTTGTATACAATAGCTGAGGTATTTCTGTGATTGTCAGACAAAGCTAGAAGTTTCAATCATTATTCTTAATACATATTTGTAGTGCTCTACAAGCACTGAAGCTTGGAACAACTGCAAGGGTCTGTGTGACATGTATCTCAGATGACTGGAGTCCCTTGTTTTGCATCTGATGAATCTATATACCGTATTCGACATAATAAGCGCCCAGGGCGCTCTCAAAATTAGAAATAGGGGGCTCTTATTAGAATATTATTTTGGTGGAAAAAACAGAGTTGAAAGATAAATTTCGTGGTTTATGCTGATTCCAGAATTTAATTGCCCATAATTAAGGGTGCATATAACACACGAGTGCGTATTATACACAAATAAATAACTTTGATCAATCGGAAGGGGTGCTAATTGGGATTGTGCACTTGCCAATATATTAGCAAATATTGCCGTGGGCGCTTATTAGAGCGGGGCGCTTATTACGTCGAATACGGTACTTATGTTTCTACAGAAACAAAAAATCCACTTCATAGTGGTTCCATTTAACTACCCCTGTGATGAAATGAAACGGCTCATTTTGAGTAAAAAAAATTATGATAGCTAAACTAATTTTTATAAACAAATAATGAACTCAAAATATATAAGATCTTTTCCTCTTCCATATCATGACGAGTTACAGGGTTCAGACTAATAGGGTTTAGCTGTTTATAGGGTTCAGATTTACAGGGTCTAGCTGTATTTCAAGGTTCAAACTAACAGGTTTAGCTACATAACAGGGTTCAGACTTATCTCAAACCAGGCCCATCTTTGCCTCAGGTCGCTATTATTCACCTTCATCTTGCCTCTGTCACTAAAGTCTGCATGGACACAGAATAACTCTTGTACAAAACACAACACCATCTCTCCAACACACTCAGCCATCCACGCACAGACCAGCCACTTGGTCACTTCTGTAAGAAACCCAGTACAAAACACAGTCATGATACAAAACAGCAATCTGTATAAAATGTTGCACAAAGAGTCCACAGAGTACTGGCTCCTCCTTCACCACAGAACACAGTCTACCAATGTCACACGCCATTGTTCACAAGGGGCACCTGCAACTAAGGAATGCATTGACTGGTTCCGTTCAACCAATCACAGGTGACGTTACAACAAAGGGCACCTGCTACCAAACGGAACTCCTCGTATCGAGCTTCATCCTGAGACCAATATTACGCAAAATCTGTACAATTTCTACTGTACAATACATGCACATCAGGGCAACGCTAGTCCGAAATGTACATCTATGAATCGTGTGGTTGTATTATGCAAGGACGGTAGCTCCTTGTAGCCAGGGCAACAGATCCACAACATCTTGCATCCATGGTAACGTTTCCTGTGTTACCATAGTAACACCTCCCTCCATACGATGAACCACTTCCCTGTAGAGATCGCACCACCTCCTTTTACTATCGAAACACCTTGTCACCATAGAAAATGCTGTACATTGTATTTCAATCACCTCTTATAGTCACAGAAACGGAGACGTTTCTGGATAACCAGGTAACCATGGCAACACCCTGCAGCTACCTGCAACATGGAAGTTGCCACGGACACAACTTGTGGATTTAGTTGACCAAGCTAATATTACCGAGAATCATTCACGTGTTGAGATTGGCTGGAGGTCATCGTGAGGTAGGATAACACAGAGCAAGTTTACACACATCCAGTACGCAGTGCCAACATCACGTACCACTTCAAAATAGTCCTACTTCCTCAAAGCAAACAATAAGGGCTGGTGTCATGCAAGAATGGATACTGAAGATTAAATAAAGAGACGAAACTGTTCTTTTTCGAAATGTCCACCCCTGGCTTCGGACTCTATCGTCACGAGGCGTCGTCATCCTGGACTGGCGCACTAAGTATCATGTGACCACCGACAGTGGGAACACCTGCAGCAGCATTGGCCAACGCCGTCGCCGCGGAGACAACGATTGGTTGTGACGGTGAGGTAGACGGTGCCGCTGTCACGTTGGGAATGACCAGACTTGCCGCAGTGGACATGTTTAACGGTGCAGTGTTATTCACAAATATATTTTGAGTCTGAGGCGCCGTAACGAGTGTCTGTGTTGGCGAGGAAACGTTAATTCCGGCACTGGTGTTCTGGGTGGTGTTCTGCTGACTGAGCAGACCCTGGCTCATGTTGATCCCACTCATCAGCTGCATCTGGGTCGACGTCAGAGAGGACGGAGGATTAATTCGCTTCTCCTTCTGGCGCCGGTTACAGAACCACACCCGCACCACCTCCTTCTCCATGTTCAAGTTGTCGGCGAGAATCGTGATCTCCTCCGACGACGGTTTGGGATTCTGTAAAAAGCTCTTCTCCAACGCCACACGGACTGATGTGTCGATACTGGTTCGTTTCTTGCGACGCCGACTAATGGATTCCGGTGTGACGGCGCCGCCACTGGCACTGCTTATGGCGGCTGGGTTCTGTGCCATGGCGTCAGCGTCCTGCAACCACTTGTGGAGCAGTGGTTTCAGCTTGCACATGTTCTTGAAGCTGAGGTTGAGAGCCTCGAAGCGGGAGATGGTCGTCTGGCTGAAGTCGTTGCCGTACAGCTTCCCCATTGCCAGTCCCACGTCACCCTGTGTGAACCCTACGGGGACAGAAGAGGACAACTTTCAACATACATTCATCATTGTTTTGTTGTTGTTTTTAATCCAACATTATAACTGTGGCCTGTTAGAAACTGAGAACAATGACAGTGATAGAAACTAACATTTTTAGTCCTTATAATGATACCATACAGGTGAGGTGAAAAGGGGTTTAACGTCGCATCCAAGATTATTGCACTTATATAGCGACATGCATGCACGTGTGTGTGTGTGTGTGTGTGTGTGTGTGTGTGTGTGTGTGTGGCTGCTTGTACTAGTCCGGACTGATACCGATTGATAGTGCTAGCTCACTGAGATACCATGCCGCAGTTTAACATGAATACCCCACTCAGACACAGTATACTGACTCCGAGCCGACCAGTCCTTTGTTTTAGCCCCTTAATGCCGAGCGCCAGACAGGGTGACAACAAGTACCATCTTTTAACGTCTTTTGGTATGACACGGTCGGGGTTTCAAACCCCAGACCTTCCGCTCTCCAGGCAGACGCTCTAGTGTTTCTACAAGGTAGGGTTTGAAGTCCAAATAGTGGTATCTCCATCTGGTGCAGCGTGTAATATCGAATGGCAGATTTGATCTACATAAAAAAGCCTGCAAATGATTTTCAACCAGTGAATAAAAAGCGGAGCAAAAAACAAAAATGTGTGACAAAAGAGGCCACTTAACTCCCGACATCATTTTCAGGAAATGAAATTATCAACTAAATTGTATATTTCTATACTTATCCTATCTCACACTATGCATCATCTTTCTTCTTTGATCCTATGTGGAAACATGCTTGAACAGTTTGCGGCTTCTAAAAAACAGTCCACCCGAACACACACTGGATTACATGAGTGACCCATTTCTTTGGGAGGTGACCATGGTGCTGCTGGGGTGTGTTCAGGTGGATTGTTCTTAAGAAGCTGGAAACTCTGTTAAAGCACGTTTCCACATAGGATAGAAAAAGAAAGAAGAAATGCATAGAGTGAGATAGGATAAGTTTGAAACAAAGTTTTTTGGAGGTAGGGTCAGAGAATGTCTCAAAACATAAGGAATTGTATTTCATAAATTCATCTGACATTAAACTTTTGAGCTGGTCCCTTACCGAGCTCAATCCGTCTCCTCTTGAATGTCTTGGCAAACTGCTCCAACTCCTCCAGGTCGATGTTCTCCTCCTGGAACAGACAAAGAGGAGGAGATGGTGAGGTGAGGTCGGATGGGTGGGGTCAGATGGGTGAGGTGAGTGAGGTCAGATGGGTGAGGTGAGTGAGGTCAGATGGGTGAGGTCAGATTGGTGAGGTCAGGTGAGGTCAGGTGGGTGAGGTGATGTCAGATGGGTGAGGTGAGGTGGGGTCAGATGGGTGAGGGGAGGTCAGGTGGGTGGGGAGAGGTGGGGTCAGATGGGTGAGATGAGATGAGGTCAGATGGGTGAGGTGAGGTCAGATGGGAGAGGTGAGGTGAGGTCAGATGGGTGAGGTGAGGTCAGATGGGTGAGGTGAGGTCAGGTCAGATGGGAGAGGTGAGGTGAGGTCAGATGGGTGAGGTGAGGTGAGGTCAGATGGGAGAGGTGAGGTGAGGTCAGATGGGTGAGGTGGGGTCAGATGGGTGAGGGGAGGTCAGATGGGTGAGGTGCAGTGAGGTCAGATGGGTGAGGTGAGGAGGTGAAATGGGGTCAAATGTTGCGGTCACGGTTAACGCTCTTATATAGTGATGTGTTCTTGAAACAACATTGATGCATGTATCGCACTCAAAAAGGTTTATTCTTGTAGACTGTCCTGGGAAAAAATATGGCTATTGTATTCAAGAGGTGGAGTTTACACTGACATTAACAAGACTTAGATGAACATGTTAAATATGTATGCGTTCAAGTTATCACTTTATTCTTGACGAAACAAAATGTCCTACTAGTAGGGCTGGGTTTTGTTTGGCTTTTTCTTGTTTAACGCCACACTCAGAAATATTCCAGCTATATGACGGCGGTTTGTAAATAATCAAGTCTGGACCAGACAATCCAGTGATTGACATGAGCACCGATCCACACAAATGGGATACAAGGACAAGCATGGGTTGCTGACGACCTATTCTAACCCGGATCTTCACGTTTATTTGCTGAAAAATTGTAATGCGATATATATTGAGTGTTTGACAGTGATTGACACTGGCTGTACGTGAAGATCTATTTTGTACACTGTAAAGTAAATATTATGACGCCAAAGCCAGCATGGTCAGGAGCTGTCTTTTTGTAGTCATGGATACAGGGGAGATAACAACATGAGATAAAAATTTCTTCTGTTTTAAAAAAAACATTTTTTTAATCAATTTCAAAGGAAAACATTATTTGTGAATGAGTTTTTGTGTAGATTTTAGGTTAATTAAAACAAATAGTAATGAAACTATACATTTATTTCCCCCAGATATCTGAAATGCTTGTTGCTTATACCGGTGGTATACCGTATTTGACGTAATAAGCGCCCAGGGCGCTCTCAAAACTAGAAATAGGGGGCTCTTATTGGAATATTATTTTGGTGAAAGTTGAAAGATAAATTTTGTGATTTATGCTGACAGCCTGAAATGTTTATGTACGACAGATATATTTTTCCAGAATTTAATTGCCAATAATAAAGGGTGCTTATATCACACGAGTGCGTATTATATGCCCATAGGGGTCGGAAGGGGTGCTAATTGGGATTATTGACTAGCCAATATATTAGCAAATCTCGCGGTGGGCGCTTATTAGAGTGGGGTGCTTATTACGTCGAATACAGTATGTGTAATACCGTGCAGTCGTAGAATATAGGGGGTACACACCTCCATCACGGCCATCTGCATGGTCTGGTGTGTCGGTGTGGTGGGGCTCATTGCTGTTGTTGTGGCCATGGTGGTGACAGGGCTGGTCTGCTGTATCTGCTGCTGTTGTTGCTGCTGCTGTTGCTGTTGTTGTTGCTGTTGGATTGCCTGCACAGCTGGCTGTGCTGTTGGGGTCTGCTGTTGGGCCACGGCTACCGCAGCACCCAGATTCTGCAGCACTGGGAGACTATGCTGGGGACACAGAACATGAGGGTCAGACAAACAACATGTGGGTCTGACAAACAAGATGAGGGTCAGACAAACAATATGAGGGTCAGACAAACAATATGTGGGTCAGACAAACAAGATGAGGGTCAGACAAACAACATGTGGGTCAGACAAACAACATGTGGGTCAGACAAACAACATGAGGGTCAGACAAACAACATGTGGGTCAGACAAACAACATGTGGGTCAGACAAACAAGATGAGGGTCAGACAAACAACATGTGGGTCAGACAAACAACATGAGGGTCAGACAAACAACATGTGGGTCAGACAACCAACATGAGGGTCAGACAAACAACATGTGGGTCAGACAAACAACATGAGGGTTAGACAAACAACATGAGGGTCAGACAAACAACATGTGGGTCAGACAGACAACATGAGGGTCAGACAGACAACCTCTGGGTCAGACAAACAACCTCTGGGTCAGACAAACAACATGAAGGTCAGACCAACAACCTCTGGGTCAGACAAACAATATGAGGGTCAGACAAACAATATGAGGGTTAGACAAACACCATGAAGGTCAGACCAACAACCTCTGGGTCAGACAAACAATATGAGGGTCAGACAAACAACATGTGGGTCAGACAAACAACATGAAGGTCAGACTAACAACCTCTGGGTCAGACAAACAATATGAGGGTCAGACAAACAACATGTGGGTCAGACAAACAACATGAGGGTCAGACTAACAACCTCTGGGTCAGACAAACAATATGAGGGTCAGACAAACAACATGTGGGTCAGACAAACAACATGAAGGTCAGACTAACAACCTCTGGGTCAGACAAACAATATGAGGGTCAGACAAACAACATGTGGGTCAGACAATTAGAACAAGAGGAAAAAGTCATTGATATCCCCCACAATGGTTAAATACTTGTCAATAACATTGTTTGTTGCCATGGAAACTCGAAAAAATTCATCCACAAACTATCAAAAGACACCAGTTTATTGCTAGACCTATCTGTGTGCCAAGTTTGGTGAAGAAATTTTGTACAGTTTTCAACATCTGCTCCGGAAACGAGCGCTACGGCCATTTCCATCCGTAGTCAAAGTTGTTGCCATTGAAACTCGAAGAGGTTTTTCTTGAAAATCCCAAACCATCCAAAGGCAACAGTTTTACCACTAGACCTATCTGTGTGCCCAGTTTGGTGAAGGAATATTGTATGGTTTTCAACATCTACTCCGGAAGTGAGCACTACGGCCATTGCGAGGGATAATTATCATTAAGTGTCCAAATTGTTAAACAAAAAATTTATAAATAAAAAAGGTCTTGATTCCTTGAAAGAATTCAATCAAGCTTGCTTGGATTCCGAAACAGCTAAAGCCAAAGTTGATTTGAGAATAAATTTACACTTCAAGTTAAATTTACATCAATTTTCTTTACCGATTCAGAGAAACTTGTTGTATATATTAAAATAACATGTCTCAAACTACTAACAATTTCAATTACAGTGTTATACCTGATTTGAAGGACAGAACATCACACATGGTTTAACATGCGGGCACCGTAACTCCGAAAAGTGGGGAGCGTGACATAAAAAGGATTTGTTTGTTGGTTTGTTTAAAGCCGCACTCAGCATTATTCCATCTAGATGACAGTGATCTGTAAATACTCGAGTCTGGATCAGACAATCCAGTGATTGACATCATGAGCATCAACCGACGCAATTGGGAGAAGATAACACGCATCAACCAAGTCAGCGAGTCTGACCACCCGATCCCGTTAGTCGCCACTTACGACAAGCATATTCGCATTTTACGGCAATCACGGGTTTCTGAAGACAAACTGTAATCCAGATCTTCACAGTTCCATGGACAGGACCAGTTAAGGGAACACTGTCTGCACGAACCTGATTCTGCACAAGGAGCTGGGGCTGCATGGAGGTCAAGGTCGTGGGGTTGATAAACACCAGCTGCTGCATGCCGGCCAGAGCCTGGCCTCCCAGCTGGGCCGTCTGCAGCTGGATCGTCTGGACCTGCAACAGAGTCGGTTAGTTTCGGTAATATCACAGGGTGATGTAGGTCCCAGACATCCTGCAATAGTCAGTGAGTTTCAGTAATATCACGGGTGATATCGGTCTTAGACTTCCTGCCAGAGTCAGTGAGTAAGGGCTGAGATCAACACAGGAGCTCAATACACAGATGCAGAGATCTTCCCATACTCCCAAACTGTAAAGACCTGAGGAAGGTACAAGGATAACTCTTTGTTACTCACACCCTGATATATCGAAGCCCCTCCCCAATACTGCTCAAGATCCTTCAAGATCCCCTAAAGAGACTGAATGCCAAGAGACCCTTACACTCCACAAGAATCACAAAATAAAAGTTTAATATTCCCAAATACTAAGTTCAGTACTTTTTCCCTGAATAAGTAATTAAGAAAAGTAAATATATTATTTGTATCCCATATGATTTATGCAAACTCCTTTTTGTACTCAAGGCTAAAGAAAATTATATTCTTGGTTCTCAGATACTGCCCACATTATCATAACGTTTGCCACTTTTCATTTTTATTTCCAATATAAAAAAAATAATTTAAATCCTCAAATGTTCCAAGTCCAAAGATAGTTAAATACTGTATTACAGTATTTTATTCATCAAGGAATACATTTATGTAGGGAGGCCCTTTCCCAGGTTGATTGTACACAAGTGTGTATTTGGTTACACATCTTTTTATTTGGTTACATACTAGTTTGAACAACCACACACACAAAAAAAGAAAAAACACACACCGCCCACCCGCACTATATTTTCAAAACCTATTGCCTCAGAACCAATTTATTTTTTTTAAGCCTAATGCAGTGGAGAAACTATAGCACAATAAAGGGAGATAACTGGAATTATGTCCCTTTCATCAACACAGTGAGCATCTGCAGGTTACTCTACACTAAATCAGATCTAGTTGCCTCCATTATTCCACCACTCATGTGATACACATCATATCACCATGCCTCCATTATTCCACCCCCCATGTGATATGCATTATATCACCATGGGTCCATTACTCTATCCCCCATGTGATACGCATCATATCACCATGCCTCCATTATTCCACCCCTCATGTGATACACATCATATCACCATGCCTCCATTATTCCATCCCCCATGTGATATGCATTATATCACTCTGCCTCCATTATTCCACCCCTCATGTGATACACATCATATCACCATGCCTCCATTATTCCACCCCCCATGTGATACACATCATATCACTATGTCTCCATTATTCCACCCCTCATGTGATACACATCATATCACCATGCCTCCATTATTCCACCCCTCATGTGATACACATCATATCACCATGCCTCCATTATTCCACCCCCCATGTGATACACATCATATCACTCTGCCTCCATTATTCCACCCCTCATGTGATACACATCATATCACCATGCCTCCATTATTCCACCCCTCATGTGATACACATAACATCACCATGCCTCCATTATTCCACCCCTCATGTGATACACATCATATCACCATGCCTCCATTATTCCACCCCTCATGTGATACACATAATATCACCATGCCTCCATTATTCCATCCCTCAAGTGATACACATCATATCACTCTGCCTCCATTATTCCATCCCCCATGTGATACACATCATATCACTATGTCTCCATTATTCCACCCCTCATGTGATACACATCATATCACTCTGCCTCCATTATTCCATCCCTCATGTGATACACATCATATCACCATGCCTCCATTATTCCATCCCCCATGTGATATGCATCATATCACTCTGCCTCCATTATTCCACCCCCCATGTGATACACATCATATCACTCTGCCTCCATTATTCCACCCCTCATGTGATACACATCATATCACCATGCCTCCATTATTCCACCCCTCATGTGATACACATAATATCACCATGCCTCCATTATTCCACCCCTCATGTGATACACATCATATCACCATGCCTCCATTATTCCACCCCTCATGTGATACACATCATATCACTATGGGTCCATTATTCCATCCCTCAAGTGATACACATCATATCACTCTGCCTCCATTATTCCATCCCCCATGTGATACACATCATATCACTATGTCTCCATTATTCCATCCCTCATGTGATACACATCATATCACTCTGCCTCCATTATTCCATCCCTCATGTGATACACATCATATCACCATGCCTCCATTATTCCATCCCCCATGTGATATGCATCATATCACTCTGCCTCCATTATTCCACCCCCCATGTGATACACATCATATCACCATGCCTCCATTATTCCATCCCCCATGTGATATGCATCATATCACTCTGCCTCCATTATTCCACCCCCCATGTGATACACATCATATCACCATGCCTCCATTATTCCATCCCCCATGTGATATGCATCATATCACTCTGCCTCCATTATTCCACCCCCCATGTGATACTCATCATATCACCATGCCTCCATTATTCCATCCCCCATGTGATATGCATCATATCACTCTGCCTCCATTATTCCACCCCTCATGTGATACACATCATATCACCATGCCTCCATTATTCCATCCCCCATGTGATATGCATCATATCACTCTGCCTCCATTATTCCACCCCCCATGTGATACACATCATATCACCATGCCTCCATTATTCCATCCCCCATGTGATATGCATCATATCACTCTGCCTCCATTATTCCACCCCCCATGTGATACACATCATATCACCATGCCTCCATTATTCCATCCCCCATGTGATATGCATCATATCACTCTGCCTCCATTATTCCACCCCTCATGTGATACACATCATATCACCATGCCTCCATTATTCCACCCCCCATGTGATATGCATCATATCACTCTGCCTCCATTATTCATTCCATCATGTGATACACATCATATCACCATGCCTCCATTATTCCATCCCCCATGTGATATGCATCATATCACTCTGCCTCCATTATTCCACCCCCCATGTGATACTCATCATATCACCATGCCTCCATTATTCCATCCCCCATGTGATATGCATCATATCACTCTGCCTCCATTATTCCACCCCTCATGTGATACACATCATATCACCATGCCTCCATTATTCCACCCCCCATGTGATATGCATCATATCACTCTGCCTCCATTATTCATTCCATCATGTGATACACATCATATCACCATGCCTCCATTATTCATTCCATCATGTGATACACATCATATTACTATGTCTCCATTATTCCATCCCCCATGTGATACTCATCATATCACCATATCCAACCCCCTGTGTGACTGGTGAGCTCCCTACCTGTGGCTGCAGGGTGCTTGCTGACTGGCCGGTGGTGACGGGCGTGGCAGCCTGGAACTGGATGCCCGCTTGCTGGGCCTTGACAGGAGTCTGTGTCGGCATCTGCACCATGGACGTTGTCTGGACCTGTCGCACGGCCGGGGACTGCTGCACTGAACTGGCCAGCGTCGTCTGGGCCTGCTGCACCTGATGAAACCCAAGACACAGTGTTCATGGAAATCTTTTACCACATCAGAATTGACTATGCAAGAAAGTTTATCTAGCAGACGGTTCAAAGTCCCGAGATTTGTTTGAGTTATGCTGATCTCCAAGGAGCTTTCGACTGTTTGAATGTAGGACATAATCGAAATTATCCCCACATCAAAAGCTTATGCCCCAGTCATATCACTGGTTAAAAGACAAAGTCTTGACTAGGCTAAACAGCAAGTGAAAGAATATATTAAGGGGGGGGTTCTTGATGTTTGCTCCAATAGTACATCAATATTGAGTGAGAGCGTGAGTTGGGTTTAACGCCGCTTTTAACAATATTCCAGTCATATCACGGCGTGTCAGCTTAATGTGGGAGGAAAGCCCAAAGTGATGCAGGTCTCAGACGTTTACCACTTCGGTGAAACCCATGGGCACGGGTATGGTGCTGACAAACCTAGAAACATAATCGGGGCGAACCAGGATTCGCCCCAACAATCATAGGTTTCTGGCGTGGTGC